CTTTTGCCGCCTCAGGCCAGGCCCAGATCGTGGGAAAGTCAGCACCTCCGCCTGGGCAGACCGACCAGTCTCCTGTGAATAGAGAGCCGTGTCTCTGGTTCCGCAGGGAAGGAAGACGCTGGTTGTTTATGCTCCCTCCTTGAGGACTGAGGGATTCAGGGGAAAGCAGAGAAAGAGGCTGCCCCCAGGTGATTCCTTGCCCCCCAGAGACAGTCTTGGCCATGCAGGGAGATCTTGCCCCAAAGCTGCATGCCCCAGGTCTAAAGCTAAGATGGGGGCAGCCTCACCCCCTTGAGGTTCTCCTTTGCTAGCCTCCAGTTTTCTGTTACCAGTCTTTTGACTTCAAGTAGAAACAGCACCGAGCAACTTTCCTAATAAACTCCCGAGAGAAGAGTGGAGCAGATCCCTTTCCACAAAGGGTTGGCCTCTCACAGCCCTCCCGGGACTCTCACAGCTGGAATTGCCAGGGTGCTCTCTGGGGAGCTCTTCTCAGGGATCTGTGCAACTGCTGCCGTGAACAATCTTTATTCTCCTTGCCTCTCCCTCTTCTTCCAGTTATTTGTTTTTAGGAAGAATTTCTGCTTTTTTCTATGCATCCACTTAAGTCTTTATCTTCCACTTATACAGGTAGTCCCCAGTTTGAGTTCCGTTCCCAAGGTCTGTCCTTAAGTTGAATTTGTATGTAAGCCCGAACAGTATTGTTGGGTAATACTGTATAAGTAGTATTGTGTAACGGACTCAAACCATTGCGTATTTAACTCAAAACACTGTGTATTTAACTTGAATGTGTTCATAAAGTAAACCATCTAGTTGATCAGGACTTATTCCTAAGCGAGCCAGAGAAGGAGCAGGATGGACTTGGCTGATGGTGGGCAGAAGGTGGGAGGGAGGCTGCAGCCCAAGACAGGCAGAATGGAGTGAGGAAGGGGATGGGATTACAGAAAAGTGCGTGGGTTCACATGGAGGAATGCAACAAAACGCCCTGTTCCACCTGCTTCTGGCAAGCCTCTTTCCTCAATGGAAGGTTATCCATCATGGAATCCAGACTTCATGTCAGAAAGGCTGCTTGGTGAAAGTGGGGGAGAATGGGCCCTTTTGCAGCAAGGATCTCATTCAACTCATGGGCAATCTTTTGGGCTCAAGGTTACATTTATATTTCTCTCTGTACACACACACACACCCCTCTTTCACATCAGGATTATGCTCCACTGTGTAATGAGCTGCCACCTGCTGATCCCAAATCCAGTAACTTTCCTTGCAACCAATATTGAT